TTTCAAGACCAGCCTGGCCAACATAACAAGACCCTGTCTCTATATATAGAAGAAGAAGAAGAAGAAAAAGACGATGAACAAGAAGAAGAAGAGAAAGAAGAAGAAGGAGGAGGAGGAGCAGGAGAAGGAGGAGGGGAAGAAGGAGGAGGAGAAGGGTAGGGGGAGGAGGGAGAGGAGGAGGGGGTAGAAGAGGAGGAAGGGGAGGGGGAGGAGAGGGAGAAGGATGAGAAGGCAGAGGCAGAGGGTGAGGAGGGGAAGGAGGAGAAAGGAGAATATTAGGCAGTCATTAAATATATATATTTTTTTGAGACAGAATCTCACTCTTACTGCCAAGGCTGGAGCGCAGTGGTGCGATCTCAGCTCACTGCAACCTCCATCTCCTGGATTCAAGTGATTCTCCTGCCTTAGCCTCTGGAGTAGCTGGGACTACAGGTGCCTATCACCAAGCCCAGCTAATTTTTGTATTTTTAGTAGAGATGGGGTTTCAGTATATTGGCCAAGCTGGTCTCAAATAAAAATTTTTTTTAGAAAAACAACCCATATGCCTATTGACTGATAGATGCATACGCAAAATGTAGTGCAGACATACAATAGCGTAGTATTGAGCCTTAAAAAAGAATAAAATTCAGCCGGGCGCGGTGGCTCAAGCCTGTAATCTCAGCACTTTGGGAGGCCGAGGCCCCTGGATCACGAGGTCAAGAGATTGAGACCATCCTGGTCAACATGGTGAAACCCCGTCTCTACTAAAAATACAAAAAATTAGCTGGGCATGCTGGCGCACGCCTGTAATCCCAGCTACTCAGGAGGCTGAGGCAGGAGAATTGCCTGAACCCAGGAGGCGGAGGTTGCTGTGAGCCGAGATCGTGCCATTGCACTCCAGCCTGGGTAACAAGAGCGAAACTCCGTCTCAAAAAAAAAAAAAAAAAAAAAAAAAAGAATGAAATTCTGACAAGCTACAAAATGAATCAGTCTTGAAGACATTGTGTTCAAGGAAATAAGTCAGACAGAAAATGACAAATACTGTATGTTTCAACTTTTATGAGGTACTTAGACCAGTCAAATTCATAGAGACAGAAAGTAGAATGGTGGTTGCAGGGGCTGGGGAGGAAGAGGGAATGGGAAGTTATTTTTTTTTTTTTTCAGCTGGAGTTTTGCTCTTGTTGCCCAGGCTGGAGTGCAATGGCGCAATCTCGACTCAATGCAACAACCTCCACCTCCTGGGTTCATGCAATTCTCCTGCCTCAGCCTCGTAAGTAGCTGGGATTACAGGCATGTACCACCACACCTGGCTAATTTTATATTTTTTTAGTAGAGACAGGGTTTCACCGTGTTGGTATGGCTAGTCTCAAACCCCCGACCTCAAGTGATCCCCCGCTTGGGCCTCCCAAAGTGCTGGGATTACAGGCATGAGCCACCATGCCTGGTCAGAAGTTATTGTTTAATGGGTACAGAGTTTCAGTTTGGGAAGATGAAAAAGTTCTGCAAATGGATGGTGATGATAGTTGCACAACAATGTGAATGTGCTTAATGCCACTGAACTATGCAGTTATAAATGACTAAAATGGTAAATCTTGTTATGTATATTTTACCATGATAAAAAAATGCTTTAGAATTTTTAGCCACAAGAAATTACTCAATATGTGAGACTTAGTATATAATAGTGTTCAGATTTTGTGTAAAATTCTTTGTAAGCTCATGTATAGAAAAATATATTGGAAAGGGATTTCAAACACAGAATGTTAATAGACACACTCTCTAGGTGATATTCTGAGTAATTTTCTCTTTTATACTTTTCTGTACTTTCCAACTGGTCTAAGTAAACATGCAATATCTTATAACTAGAAATTAAAATAAATTTAAAAACACACTCCCTAAATCTCTATCCTCTTTCCCCGCCTTACTGTTTTAGCAAATAAGTATTTCTTCCTACCTGAAAGCATATTGCTTATTTATTTGTTCCCTTTCCTAAAGTCTGTTTCCCCAACTACAATGTAAATTCCATGAGGGTAGAGGCTTTGTCTTATTCACTGTTTGATCCTTAATATTTGAACAGTTTCAGGTACTTTATGGGCACTCCATAACATTAGAGTGAAACAGAATGAATCAATGAATGAATGGGTGAATGAACAGAAATTTAGTCATCCTCAATGTCTTAGTCCCTTCCTACTGCTATAACAAAATACCCCAGGCCGAGTAACTTATAAATAATAGAAATGTGTTTCTTACATTTCTGGAGGCTGAGAAGGCCAAGGTTCAGACCCCAGTAGATCTCATGTCTGGTGGAGGCTCACACTGCTTCCTAGATGGGTGTTTCTTGCTGCATCCTCACATGGTAGAAGGGGCAAACAGTTCCCTTGTACCTCTTTTATAAGCTCACCAATGCCACTTGTGAGGGCTCTGGCCCATGAATTAATCACCTCATAAGGGCCTTGTTTCTTAATACTTTCACTAGGAATTAAGTTTCAATATATAAATTTTGTGGGGACATATTCAGACCATAGCTCTCAGATTAGGACAGTAGGAATTCATTTTTCCTGTACATACCTGGGGTATCAGCCCTCTTTCTTACATCTGCAGCCTGCTTAGGATTGGAAGAAAGGTTGTCTCAAGATTAAGAATCATCAAAATGAAGTAAAGCCTGAAATATGTCCATCCAAAGTAGGGCTAACAGGTTGGAAAATAGATACCATGTCACTTGGAGAGTAATTGAAGGCACTGAGAATGTGAAAGAAAAGATTTAAAGGAGAGAAGAAATTTAGCTGTTTGCAAATACTGGAAGTGTAATCAGGTGGAACCATGAATTTATTCAATAAATATCCACTGAGCCTCTGCCATGTGCCAGCGACTGAGGTAGGTACCAAGAGTTAAAAAAAAAAAAACAAAAAAAAACAGGATTATGTTTCATATGTTTGACTCCAGAGGAAATGCCAAGGATAGGTTGAGAGAGGTTTGGAAAGACAGATTTGAGTACGTCATAAGGCAGAGTCCAAATCAGCATTTCCTAAGGCACATTTCATGGAACCCTGGGATGCATATTTGTTAAATAAGAAAAGAATCCTAGGGCCAATAAATTTAGAAGACCCTGAGGTAAGGCGAGGTATGGTGGCTCACACCTGTAATTCCAGAACTTTGGGAGGCCAAGGTGGGTGGATCACCTCGGTTAGGAGTTTGAGACCAGCCTGGCCAACATAATGAAACCCCATCTCTACTAAAAATAGAAAATTAGCCAGGTGTTGTGGCGGGCACCTGTAATCCCAGCTACTCAGGAGGCTGAGACAGGAGAATCACTTCAACCTGGAAGGTGGAGTTTGCAGTGAGCTGAGATCATGCCACTGTACTCCAGCCTGGGCAACAGAGCAAGACTCTGTCTCAAAATAAATAAATAAATAGGCCGAGCATGGTGGCTCACTCCTGTAATCCCAGGACTTTGGGAGACCTAGATGGGCAGATCACAAGGTCAGGAGATTGAGACTATCCTGGCCAACATGGCGAAACCACGTCTCTACTAAAAATGCAAAAATTAGCTGGGCATGGTGGTGCATGCCTGTAATCCCAGCTACTTGGGAGATTGAGGCAGGAGAATTACTTGATTCAGGGATTCGGAGTTTGCAGAGAGCCGAGAATGCGCCACTGCACTCCAGCCTGGGTGACACATCAAGACTCCATCTCAAATAAATAAATAAATACATACGTACATACATACATACATACAGAGAAGGAAAATCTTGAGGTAAAGTTTTTTTCAACTACAGCACAGAACTTCTCAGTCTTTTTTTTTTTTTTTTTTAAGTTAGGGTCTTGCTGTCACCATATAGGAGCGCAGTGGCACAATCACAGCTCACTGAAGCCTTGAACTCCCAGGCTCAAGTAATCCTCCAGCCTCAGCCTCCTGAGTAGCTGGGGCTACTGGCATGTGCTACCATGCCTGGCTTTTTTTTTTTTTTAACTCATGTATAGATGGGGTCTTACTATGTTGCCCAGGATGGTCTCAAACTCCTGGCCTCAAGTAATCCTCCCACCTCAGCCTCCTGAGTTGCTGGGATTACAGGCATGAGCCACTGCACCAGACTCAGGTCTTCAATATACTATTGTATACTATATTCTCCTAAAGAGTGATGTGGCTCCTTTTCCTAAATTTTTTAGACCACAGGACACTTTTGTAGGCCCAGAATTTCAAGGGATGAGCATTAGAGAGAGTTATTCTCTACATGAAAACATTCACCTTCAGAACAGGAGGCTTACAAGCACAGATGTACTGAGGCATGCCCCTGAGACACACTTTGGCACCACATACAACAGATGCCCGAGTCTTCATTCTGAACCCTTCATATCGATCCAGTCCTCTCACCTCATCTCCCTCACCTCACAGTTTTCCTGGTTGCCAGTCCGCACTCACTCCTTTCCATCCTTGCTTTGGCCTTGGCTTTAATGAACCGTGCCTTCTATTTCTGCTTCTAGCTTGAGCTTCACGTAACAAGGATTCTGATTTCTTCCCCTTAGCTCCCTGGATCACCCTGGGTAAAGCTTCCCTGGTTCCACTGTTCCATCCAGCTCACGGTACACAGAGAAGGGAGACCCAGACAAGGAGTAAGCAGGTTCTCATGTCAGGAAGAGCTTGGGGAAAGCTTGGGCTTTCTGATGTTCAAAGTTCTTGCTTGGTCTTATTTTCTGCCATCTGCTTGACAGGTCTGATTTCTGTAATGGCTTCCTGCCAGGCATAATTTTAAATACTTTTTGTACCTGAGAATCCAGCTATTTCTGTAGACTTTATCATCTTATTAGTCCTCACACAAAACACAGATGCACTGCCACACAGTTGAGAAGTCTTTCACACAATGAGATAAAGCCACTCATTGAAGGTCACTGGGTGAAACTTCTATCCTCATTATATGAATAAAATTGTATAATGACTTTGAAAGTTTGCATGAAATTCCTATGGGAGAAATTATTGTGACTTTAAACTATAGTCCTCAAAGCCACTCCCAATTTTGGCTTCTTACCTTGTAACTTGGGTTCTCATTCCAAAATCCAGAGACCTCATTGATTGCAGCACTTCAATACAGCCCATGTACTAGAACAAGAAGAAAAAAAAAGAAGTAGGACAAAAATTCCATGAAGCTGTCTCTCAGCTTCACAGTGACTTCCCAAGAAGCACCGAAAATCAGCTTCTGCTGTCAAGTTACATTTGCACACTCCACCTACCATTGATATTTCTGACTATTAATGGACACATGCCTAAAGCTTCAATTCAATTATAAAACACCAGTCGAATCAAACCGTAATATAGGGAATACAAGTAACAAAGACAAATGTGGGTTCAGGGGTTAACAGCGTGGGTTCTGGGGCCCGATCATGTGAATTTGCATCCTGGCTCTGCTCCTTCTTAGTTATGGAACTTCAGCAAGTTAACTTCTGTGCATCACAGTTTTGTCATTGGTAAAATGGAGATACAATCGGTATCGTTAGGAGAGTTAAATCATGTTTATTTATTTCCTACATGTAAATAAAGCTTTCAGAACAATGGTTGGTATATACAAAGGCCTGAATATTAGAGGAAGCAAAAATAAATGTGAGATAATACAGGAATGTCAAATCTTCTAAGCAGATAGAACAAGTATATAAATGCATAGGATACTGAACTTAGTAACAGAAGATCTTATCATCATTTGCAGATGATTTAAATATTAAGGGAGTTCCTGAAAGGACAAAAGTCATGTGCCGTATCAGTGATTAGTATGGTTAGCTTGAACACCGTGTATTGCAAAAGGAATTGTGATTTAGAAAGCGGAAAGATGGTTTATGTTTACTGTGGAGCAGTGAGGACCCACAGCAGGCTGCTGGCAACAGCATGATGCGATGTGATCTGCGGCAGAGGAGGCTTAAGTCAGCGGCAGTGTGAAGGTGGGTTAATAGTCAGGGAATAAGTTAGAATGCTCCTGTGGAGAGGGAAGTAATGACAGCCCACACTCAGGAGGGATGGTGGCAATAGGAAGGACAGGATAGATTCAAGTGACATCATGGAAATAGACACCATAGCACTCGGCAGTTGATTTGCTATGGAGAATTAGAGAGAAGGATGAGTCAAGGATGACTCACTCCGAAGTTTCCAGCCAGGGTAGCAGAGGGAACAGCGATGCCATCACCAGAAACAGGAAAGGCAGAAGGGAAGATGATGAATTGGTTTGGGAGCCGTTGACTTAAGGCACTAGTGGGGTATCCAGGAAATAACAAGCTGGTAGCTGAAAACTGGATTCTGGGGTGCTGAGAGGAATTCAGCCTAGGGATACAGACTCAGTAGCCTCTGCAGCTTTGCCAAAAGAGGCCATAAGACTCAGTCCTTCCAGCAGAGCCTCCGGTGATGAGGGAGAGTGCTTCTTTAAGAATTGCCTTAAAAATGGTGCCAGAGCCAAGAATTCCAATTTGAAAGTGGTTCTGTTGGCTCCTTGGAAATAATATGCTTCCTGTTTAGCTTTCCTTTGAAGACTTTCCAGTCTCTCTGTGCTTGGGAATGGCAAAAACACTGTCAAAAGTTAGCAAGAGCTGGTGGGGACAGGGCACCTGCCCAGATACTTCTTGTATAATAGTATTTCTTTTATTCTTATCTTTTTTTTTTTTTCTGAGATGGAGTCTCACTCTGTTGACCAGGCTGGACTGCAGTGGCATGATCTTGACTCACTGCAACCTCCGCCTCCCAAGTTCAAGCAATTCTCCTGCCTCAGCCTCCTGAGTAGCTGAGATTACAGGTGCATGCCACTGCACCTGGCTAATTTTTCTATTTTTAGTAGGGATGGGGTTACACCATGTTGGCCAGGCTGGTCTTGAACTTCTCACCTCAAGCAATCCACCCACCTCAGCCTCCCAAAGTGTTGGGATTACAGGTGTGAGCCACCACGCCCTGCTATATAATAGTATTTCTGAGCAGACTGTGCAGATACAGCCCCTCCATGCCAAAGTGCTGCCTGGAGCCTGGTGCTAGGAAAAGCATGCTGGCCACGACAGTCACCCAGGCAGTCTCATCCAGACTCCTGTTAGTCACACTCAGTCACACTCCTCTTGGAATCTCAAGTATTGATACAAGCAACATTTTGGATATTTTACTCCATCCCCACTACATTTAACTTCCCAAGCCCTGGGTACCTTAAGGATGTGGTGTCTAGAGATTTCTCTTCAACCATAGGGTTTATTAGGAGAAGAAAGCTAGATTTAGGAAGCAGGTTAGAAAGCCCATCCCAGAATCTTAAAGAAAGGAGATTCCGAGCATCCAAGCTCCACGTCCAGGCGGTGTGAAAAGATTGTCCACATGTACTCACTGACTGCTTTGGCTTGCGGTGCCTTCCAGTGCCCTCTTCCACCCCAGAACCTAGTTCTTACTCCCCTATTTCCTGCACTCTTGGCCCTGGAAAGAGTGGATTCCCCACACAGGCTGGGGAGCAGGTCTGGATCCCCCCAATACCTTCAGGAAACCTTGTTGGTGCAGAAGTGGCTATCATCTTTCCCTTCAGCTGTAAATCACCAATTGAAGACAAAGTGATACCAACTGGCCTATCGCTGCACACTTTTTGAAAAGGTGACCAAGCACCTACATTTTTCACCCTCCGCCACAGTGGTTCTTCACAAATGCGTATCAGATCATGTTCTTCCACCATATGAAACCCCTGGCGTCTATGATCAAAACAAACTCATTAATCTAAATCCCTAGACCCTGGGGTTTCTGGCCCTTCAGCTTCATCAGTATCACTGTCTCCTTACACATTCTGCTGCCATATGGGCCTCCTTTCTGCTCCACAAATACACCCCAGCTCCTTCCTGCCTTGCCATTTCCTCCGCCTGGCTCTCCTTACACTGTTCTGCAGGACAGACCCCTTCTCATCCTTCAGGTTTCAATTCAAATGACATGCCTCAGAGGTCCCCTCCAGCTACCCTTCATCTCAGCCTCTATTCAGCACTGATTGGTTGACTTGTTAGTTTGCTTGTCTAGTACCTCTTTTTATTCCTTTGGCTGTAAGAACCGTAAGAGTAAAGACCACAACCACCACCATAGTCCCTCCAACAATTCCTGGAGTCTGGTGGACACGCAATAAACACTTGTTGAAAGAATGAATAAAGCATCTTTTGTTCAACTCTGCTGTACCTTTACAATGAGTGGGGGCTTGGGGGAGCTGAGGGACTGAGGGAGGTGAAGGCTTGGCTGGTCTCTCCACCCTGGGGGACAAATGAGGAGTACCGGAGCACCAAGGACTCAAACTCAGGTGCTACAGGCCGGAAGGATGCCTTGGCAAGGTTTCTGGATTCTCGGCAATGTACTTCATGTTTGCTATTTTTGCTATTCTTCATTTTAGAGAGGGGCAACAAACAACCTAGATGGAGGAGGTTTTGTAGTGAAGTGGGAAGCTGGCAAGAATGTACCCTACTTCTCAGGCGGGCTATACGCTGTGGGTGGGAACAGCCTGGATGATAGAGTTGACAGCGGGAACTTTAAAAGGAAAGGAGAGCAGGTTACATGTCTGAACAGGAAGGGGACAAAAGGACAAACAGAGACAACTGGGACAGGGACACCCAAGGCTGATCAAGTTTGAGACCCACTTGAGGAGAGTGTCAAAGTGAAGGCTATTCTCAGTCCAATGAAATAAATTGCCATTCCTTTTGGTTATCAATGAGGAGAGGAATTTTTAGTGTCTTGGGGGTGAGTGGAACTCCTCTAATGCTTCATTCTTAATCATACTTCATGGCTATAACCACATTATCTGCTTCCTACTAAGGCAAGCATTGCTTCAGGATCTTCTTCCCTTTGTGTGAACCTCTGTTGTGATTCATACACTTGTCCATCAGCTATGGCACAGGTGATCCCTGCCAGCCTCACTATGATACAACGGAAGTTTCTGGAAAAACATGAGTCATGGCCTGAGATGATTGACAATGAGGACAAGTCCCCTTCCACTGTGGGCATCTGTGTTGAGAAAGCCACAACTGATTTTTGCCACAATTACTCCAAAGACAAGAATGGAGTGGGCCTTCCCATTGACTCACACAATCCATTTCACTTAAAAACCATCGCTGTGGGGGAACATGTAGGGGGTAGTGCATAAAAATACTCCGTCCACTTCTTTGTGTAGGTGCCTGACGACTGCATAAGCAGATAGTGGCTGGATATCAAGGCGAGAGAGGAGAAGTTTAGTTTGTTAGCTATGAACTGGAGATGACAATACTTCTCATTCGTCTATTAAATGCAGATCTGTATAAGACATGGTCTCTGTTCTTAAGAATCCTGGCCCCATTCACATAGGACAACTATAAAGAGATAACTTTTCTTTTCTTTTTATGAGGTTAGTCATTGTTACTAACTTTATTTAAGAGATGAGGAAATTGAAGCCTATTAAAGAGAAGTGCCTGGCTCTGTTTCATTTATTCACTGCTACTGAATCAGGGTTTATTCTAGAGTCTGCAGTCCACTGCTGGGACCCTGTATAACAGAAAAAGTGAAAAGAGGACTTTTCCTGCTGCCTCCCACTCACCTGCCCTTTGGTCTACCCGGGAACACAGTGACACAGTGACGAGACAGGGGACCACAATGGTAACAGCGGATGTGAATCCAAACTGCTCTGGGAACTGCAGGAGGTGGCACATGAGACAGAGGACACTCCCTAATTCCCCACCCTGTGGTGAGGAGAGGACACTGAAGACCTTTATGTAGAGCCACACAGCAACGGTGGGAAAGCAACGCAACTCAGCAGTGCTCAGACAACCTGCCGATTCAGCCCCCCGACACAGGCTTACCTAACTCCCAGCTCGCTTCCTCCCTTCGTGCCCCAAGGCAGTCATAATATTTTTGTACTGTCTGAGCTTCAACCACTTGCTCCCAGGGAGCAAGTGAACAACCTATTTATGGTCCTATGTGTGTTGGGCTTTGCTCTGCAGAGAAGAAATGACTGGGGTTTTCAGAGAAAAGCAATGATAGCTACTTAAGGGAATTCTCATCCTAACTCTTACAGAATGATGACTGACTGCAAGCACACTATCTACAGAAAAAAATATATATATTCTTATGCCCTCAGAAAGAAGATCTGCAGGATA